CTGTGAGTTATGTGTTTAAATTTCATGTCTGCGGGACCGTTAGGGGATGACAAAATCACGAAAGGAAGTCTAACCAGCTTATTAAGGGGTCCAGATAGCCGGACCATCCAAGATAAGGTGAGTTTGATGGATGGCAGTGCGTTCATGCATGAGTCTAGCTTTTGTCTGAGGTAGGAATGTCGTTATTTACAGATCTTGCCAGCGGGTCCGTCTTCAAGACTTGCGATCTATCATGTATGTCATTCTTAATCTCCATGATGGTAACTTGGTTACACCAATTTTTCAGCCTACACCAACGGCACTTGCATGTTCATGGGCCATACAACAAATCCAGAGATTCCTATAGCACCACGAATAGTTTTAGGCTATTCATCAATTTCGTCTATTGGTTTGGCTAGATAGAGCATGATAGAAAATCGCTGGTGTACGGAGGCTTCGAAGTTTGAGGAATATTTGCATTTTTCACCTCATTCAACAGTTTTACCCAAGGGCTAGGAATGAAAAAGAGACTGGCTTCCCCAAATACCTTAGTATATATTTTGCTTCATTTAATTTCCACTCATCTGGTTTATGTTCGAGATGGATGGCTTACTAAAGGTCAGAGCCCTTCCAGCTACTGATACCCGCCCACACTCCGGCAATCAAATCGTTCTGGACGGTTGTGCTATCACATTGTTATCATAGTGGAATCCATTCCCAAATTTAGTATACTTCTGATAAACATGTTTTTTCAGACATTCTTCAAAAAGTAGATATTTGATCAAGCTTGGTGCTGGTACATTTTCAAAGTGAACGAACCGGGCAAATGTCAGATGAAATGTCGAAACTGCAGAATCCCAAGTTGAGTAATTAAGAAAATTACAAATTTCTTAATATACAGATCCCTGAGGATATATGTCAACTAAAGGAAACCCTCTTAGCATAAATTAAAGCTTCCTCCCTCTCAAAATTCATGCGCTTTCCCTTAACGTCAACAGTAAAACTGTCAGCAAGTACACTAACAAAAGATACATGACCTTACTAACATAGCACTTGTCACTTAATCAGCCTTATATCCTAGCCCTTTTGCCTTGTCTTATTTGGTTTTTTTCGAAGGAAAATTGAAGCATTTTGGCTTCATTCACAGTAAACATAAGCTAGCCAGGTAGAACAGATGCTATTTCATGCCCTTGGTTAGGTGAATTGAATTGGCACTTCGTAATATTGCGTGGGACCAAGCATCCCACCGCGTGGAGGTGGAACACCAGCAGGCCTACATGGACTACTGCTGCAAACCGAATACACTTTCTCATAAATAATGAGAACTAGGAAAAATAATAAGCGTTTGGATATGAAATGCTGCCGATCCCATAAATCCTCTGATTTATCTCTTAATGTGCCAACAAACTAATTTTGTTAAAGCTCAGATCTCTTACATCTAGTTGAAACGAAACCAAATAAATGAGCTTCATCCGCAATTTAAAAATAACGATCTTCCATCCCTTATTTTTAAGCTAAATGGAGTACACTGTCGTAAGATGGCATTTGTTTCCCTTTAAATTAAATGTCGTGAGTTCTTCAGTCCCGGCAACTTGATACCCATTTTAGAGTCATAACGTCCTGTCCATGCTTGCCTCCACCCCGCCCCTCTGTAAGCCATTAATAATAAATTGTTTTCGCTACACGTATGCCTTGTACCATCTTCATAGGTGACTTGGTATTTTGCAGTGGTGACGGTGGTAAAGAAACCTAATCCAAATAACTAAAAAATTTTAATTTTGTTAGACTGATAACATACCTAAACCACATAAAAGGGAAGGCAAATAATTGACGTTTTATTAATTCATAACAAAAGGAGCATCATACCGGGGTTGACTCGTGTAAGCTTCTCTAATCCTTAGTTCTGCACAATAACCAGTGAGGAAGCACAAAAACTAAACAATTTCAAAACATATTTTCACAAATTGCTCAGAGTTACCAAACTTACAACCAACGCTTACGAATGCAAATGCGATAATCTCTCGCGTGGTGTGCTTTGGAGCAAATGTTTCTGCGGCAAGCTTTTGACGGTTGAGTAAGGCTCGCCATAGAATATCGCCCAGCAGGCGAAAAGATATTTGTGAAAATCCAACCGATTTTTCTCTATGCACAACCAATACCATTCTTGCTGTGATGTGGTATCTTCGTATCACCTTTATTCCTGTCTCAGGAATTACTACAATTTTACATGGGACCTCATGACTGCCGAAGCAAAAGAGTGACCCCTAAGGGAGCCAAAGACAGTGTTTAAAAGGTGAATGGAACTGTGTGCTTAAATGACACCCGCTTTATTCCTCAATTGAACCTCATGAACCCTTTACCCTGGTCACCGCCTTACCTTCAACATCGTAGCCATTCTGTACAAAAAAACGTTGCCCGTCTCACTTACGGAGTGACTTATTACTTCTGCATGGATGACTCGATGCTATATTGCAATACTTTGATTATTTAAATCTTTGATTTAATTTCATGGGTATTTAAGGTTGGGACTCTGCACTTCTACTGGGCGGCGTGGTCTCCAGGCCATGCCAGTAGCCCCACCAGCCCATCTGCGTGTCAATTTTACATGTTTTGTTCTTGCATTATTTTTTCTAGTATTTCTTTTCTTTCCCTCTCGGAGCGTTCACAAAGTTAATTACTGGCTTGCGTCTGCAGCTACATTCAACTTTAAATAAAGATTCGGCCCTATTTTCTTTGCTTGCTCGGAAGTAAATTAGTAGATATGTCCATTCTACAAATCCTATGCGCTTTTTGCTTCTAATGAATATAGAAAATTTAAACCCCTTTCCCTTGTTAGTGTTTGCCATACGGCTTTTCTGTACTAGCGAATTTCTTCAAAAAACTGTCAAATATGCCATTTTAGCCAAATGCACGAAACCTAATCACAGTAAGAAAAAGCTCATTAGAAAAGCTATTTTTTAGCCTTACTTTAAGCTAATATTTAGGATTCGTTACTAAATTTTGTTAATGGTGAATGTTCAAATTCAAAAACGATTATTTGGACGTTTAAAAAGCCCGCGGTGAAATTGAAAATAAATTGGCTAAATGCAATTTCTTCTAAGGCCAGTGACAGAGCATCGTAGGCTGAAAAAGGAATAGTTTGTTAATTGTACAAAAAACGTCAACCAACCAACCGCTGGCAAAAGTACTCTGCTTTGACAGTGAGTCCTGCTGAGAAAACCAGAAGTTTATTTCGCTCTGCTCCTAGACATTTAAAGCATTAAGACTTATTTAAACGCACGGGATACATTAAGGCGGGGCTTTTCGTGCCTTAAAATGCGCTGATGAATAAATAAATTTTGTGGTTTTGCCTCAATTCCAAACGCATAAACACCTTCTCCGCATGCGTTCGCAGACGAAAGCTAATGAATCGCGACAATACCGTATTTAAACAATGACATTTAATTGAGACGTCCGAATACATTATTTCTGTGGTGATGAAAAACAAAGTAGACTTGGAATTTGATTATTCATGTGTCCGTTTTTGCACAATTTTTGCCAATGATAACGATACATTTTACAGATACGATCTGCAGATAAGTTTTGCATCATCAAATAGAAAGGTTGGGGTGCCAAACCCTGGTCTTGGCGATTCCAGCGATTACGCCGCCACTGTGATAGCAATCTGATCCGACTGCATTCATGGCACAAGAATTAAGAGCATGCGAAAAGTTTTGTAGCTGGGGAAGGGCGGATTATCCCGTCATTTTTGGTTGGATCATTCCTTCACATCCCCCCTCGGCTAACTACACTTGAAATCTCCACTTTGCCGATATTGTTTAGGGTGGAGTGTGTCCTATAGTGAATGGAATTGCTACATAGTTAATTTTTTGTAAAGTCACCTAGAAAAAGCGAAATGAACTTCACAAAATCGGAAATTAGTTGCGGTTTTCGAATGCTTTTTCCTACACAGCCATCTAGTTTGAATGCCCTTTCTTGTTTCTAACTTACAAAGACCAGGTTAATTAAACAGTGCTAAGCCATTAATTGTTGAAATCAATGTAGTTATCCACACTGTTTGTTCTCTTCCAGTGACAATTTCCTAAAGCATCAACCTGATGATCCACTTAGACAAAGGCCGTTTTTTGATTGAAAGTGAATATGTTCTTCGGAGCAAGCGAGGGGTAACGGTCACATCCCACCACGGTACCATTAATGAATGCACAAATGGCGGCTAATAGATCCTACAGCAATTTTAGTCAATCCCAAAACGCAATAAGTAATATCTGTGTGTAAGAATGTCTATTTGCTATGTAGGGAGGACCTTTTGGCCATGGGACTATTTGTAGTACTATTAGCCCAAGAGTACTGCAGGAACTGGAGCATCGTCTCATTGGTTTATGATGCAGATCGAAATATTCAAGAGTAAGTGTCAAGGATCTCTTCCAAGCAACGTTCAGTATTCTTGAAACCTTAACTCGCTTTGTTAGCTGCCATTACGTAGAGCTAAAATTTGAGGAGTTGGCAAAAATCGCTACCACTTCAACCCTTCTGCAGTGAGGCTCCACAAATTCAGATGTCCTCCCCCTTTAATTCCAACAAAATCCGAGGTGTCGCTCAGTTGGCTAGGGTTTGCTTACCACTGCTACCAATTAAAAGCCTCAGTCCTCCTCCAAGTCGCATTAAGGTAGGCAAAGAGAAAATAAGAATCGTTATAAGCATAATATAGGACTGTGCTCAATTATTCCAAAATAATAATAAGAACCGAATGTTTTAGTTGAATAAATAGGTAACGTTTTCTTTCTATTCATAGTGCTGATAGGCGGAGAGCGGCAACTAAGAGTCTACGCACTATTAAATGCAATTAAAAGAAGCGACATCGTTACATTCGGCAAAAGTGTCTCCAACCGATAACAGAAGCGGAATGGGCTTCTACTGCCCAAAGTATTTTCCATTTATCAAGCTACGTGCAACGAGATAGCGAAAATCAAAGAGCAATCGCCTTATGTACGTTGAAAAAGGGTAGATATAACTCACCTTCTCCTTTTGCCTTTGTGCTCACAAAAAAATTCTCTCAACGTTGACAACACACCTCTTGAAGTCTGTACTTTAGTAGAATTATTCTAAGTTCACCTATTAGCAAATATTCTTAATCTGAATCTCAAAACCACACTGAATGCAGGTTTAAAATCCCTTATGCAGGTATGGTCCAACGGCCAATCAGTCGAGCTTGTATAGCTTGCATTAAAATTGAGTTAAGACCATCTTACCTGGAGGGTTGTATGGACTGCATGGAAGTTGTTGTAAGTCAACGTTACAATGCCGTCTGTCTGGCGGAAGACAGGCCTGGCAATTTGGACACGGACTGTCTGTCAGGCTTTGTGGAATTTGTTACACAATTCAGCGCTCTTTTAACCATGCTATTGTTTTGTGCACCAAATTTCCCACAAGAATTTCATCATCCTCAAACAGCCCACTCACATCCTCCGAGTTGGGGGCAGTCGCCAGACCACGTGTATAACTTATTTCTGTAGCATTAATCAGTTTTTTAACTCACTTTTCTCCCCTTCCAGATGATTGGGGTGGTGCGAATTACATGATTTGCGTCTTGATACAACAGACCCTCTTAGTTTTCCACGATAACCGTGGCGATACTGTTTACTGTGAACATTTAGAGCTTGGAACCCTTGATATTGGATAATTGAAGCACAACCTGTTGTGATTTTCCACAAAAGCCAAACCAAACTAAATTACCTTCCCCAGCTGAGGTTTTACAGGCATTGATTAAACACTGGGGGCTATGTTCAAAGACAAATGTGGTTTTCGTCCATTGAATTTTGTTGCTTTCTATTATAAACTCGGGAATTCCGTTTTGATTTAAATGCCTATCAGGAGTGTAACGAAACAAAGAAACCGTTTAGCTGAGTGATGATTAAGTAGGGGTTTTTAGTTTTATAACATTATATGTGATTTCTCCATAACCGCTTAGCACTTTAAATTGGAAAAAGAGCAAAACTTTATTATTTTCCAAGAAGCTAGTGCTCTTTCTGTGACGTTCTACCCTTCATTTAGTGTGTACCATTTCGTCTTTAATCAACTATGAAGCATGAATGTCCACCGCAACCAATTTGAAATGAATTGAGGTAAGAAGACACTCGGTTCAGCATACCCGGACGGGCGTGTTCAAGGAAGAAACTGAGTGATTCTGCCCCTTGTTCCGACTCATCGGCAGTAATGCTATAATTGAGGGTAAGAGTTCGATTGAGAAGATCATCAAATATCACTTATTTGGCCACATTTGCCAGAGGATGGAAGGAAAAAAGGATTACCATATTTCTAGTTAACGGATCAGTATTCTCTAAGTCCTCCTTAGGAAGGTTTGGAGTCTGGATGAAACCCTGCTATAAATATACAGAAAGGCTGGTGGGCTGTGACTAGAAATACCGATCAACAGAACGCCATACCATCTAGGCGGCTGCCGTAAATCGTGAGGACTCGGAATTATGGTTTAATTGAATATTGGGAGGTTTTGAAGACCTTCTCCAGGCATCTTCGATACGGACTGGCACTTTAATGTAAAATTATAGTATAATAAAAAAATATGCCTTAGCTTCTAGAGCCGTCCGGTAGGTAGGTGCATCATAACAAATGTTTTCTAGATAATATGAGACTAACTCTATGCAGTTGTCCCTCTTCTCTGTGAATTAGGCGACTATTTGCTTCTTAATTGAATAAAAAGACGACAATTTGCTGAATGCGCGACTCCACAATTTACCTCACAATGCGGTTTTAAAATCTCACAAGCTGATGGCTGCTTTTGACTTCAGGGCAATAAAATGCATTCCGACGCGAATGTGAATGCTTTAGCAGACACACACACACACACACACACACACCAACCCACCCACCCGCATATCTACACATACACACACTCGCAAAATTGCACTCAAGTCTTCTCTTTCAGTTTGGCCAAAAGTCACCAAACACGGAAAGAGAGCCAGACAGACAAACAGGCATACAAACAGACAGGTAGTAAAACAAAGGTGTCACTTGCGGTTGGGAGCCAACTAATATTGCATTCACGTGGTCCAATTTGTGGGTTTTGTGACCAATAGAAGAAGCATTGCCTTCGTGGATTTTTTTCCATACCAATTTAAGTGTTTGTTTCTCTAGCTTCTTTAAAAAATTTTAGTAACTATCCACTTAATAGATAAATCGGTATTTCTGCATAGAGTTGAAAAAACTTAGTCTTACGAGTTAGTTGTTCATAGTATTTTTCATTTACATTATTTAAAACGCCAGCAAATTAGGAAATGCTACTGCTCGCCTATAGGTCAGCAATCTATATTCTGCCTTAGTGTTATGCCTTCTTTTATCCCCAGCGCAGACTCGGGGGCTGCATTGGTGGCAGCAGAAATCAAGCCCGATCTTGAGAGACAGCTATCCCGATTCCTATTAGAGAATGCCAAAATTTAAAGTGACGAAAGAAGTGCATAAGCTACGAATGGGAGAATCACTAGGGCTTCCCAACAGAAAATTTGAAAACAGCTGAAGCGACACCAGCCGTGGCCATAAACTATCCGTCTACGATACTGGTATGGAGGTATAATTTAAGCGAACAGGTGATACGTCTTCCACCTCTCCATCAGCTGGATAGAACCCAGATGTGTATGTAAGTAGGCAGCAGTGAAGGAGGAACAAAGTCGTAAGGTGGAAGAGGCACAAAACTTTATCCCCACGAAGCTATTTCAGCCCCCGTCCCTTAATAAATAGCTCTACCTTTGGATCGGTGTTCCTACGACTTACGGTAAGGATATGGGATGACTAGCTCATCCCTCCTTCCCTCAGTACAATTCTCAAACAGGATGAGACTGCAGATCCAGTGGAATTGTCAAGAGGGATTACTGGCGTTGCAGTAGTATACTGTCTTGATTGCATCCAAATTCGATGACTGATGCGACTATTTCGTGGGTATTTTGTTTTTCTTACAGCACCAACTGCATAATGATGAACGATACAGAAGGTTGACTAAGGGGAGCACGGAGGACGAAGTTCTAAAGGAGACGAAAGCGAAGCAATACTTT